AAAAATCATTGTTTTATTTGTTTTATTTTTTTTTTAGAAATTTTAAACTTTTTTTAAAAAAATTTACATGCTGAGCATTTTTTTGAACATTAGTATTTAATGTTTTCGTATTTTTTTTATTATTTTATATTTATTTTATATAAAAATAATTTAACAATCTATATAATAATAATTATCATCAAAATAAATATAATTTTACATAATCTTTTCACTGTCAATCTTCTTACTATAAATCCCTTTCATTCAATCTCTGAAAATAAATAGGCTTTGGGATCAACTTTGGACCAGCTTGGTATGGCATGGCACAACCCTAGCCACACATCATCATTTTTTTTGGGGGGGGGGTGGGGGTGTTAGAGGGTCATATGGGTCCATCGTGGCTCATATATAGGAATATTATAAGGGTATGGAGTCACCTAATAATAATAAGAGCAAAAAAGTGCAACCTAGTTCAAGGAACAACAAAGGCTGTTGAACCATGGACACTATTTTAAGTGTGTATTGTTAGGGCGTTGTCACTATAGATAAGAGAGGTCAAAGGCCCCTCGTGCCACAAATGAAAATTGTATGGGGATATTGACATATATGAGAATTGATTGAGGGCTCGAATTCCTCCGTCCCGAATGCCCCTAAATCACGAAACCACGTCGTTTCGTGGTTTTAATTTATTATTTTTTTTTTAGCTCAGAAGAAGAATCCAAATCATGCTCATGTTTAACTTTTTAGTAGTCATGCAAATAATTATTTATATCACATAGACTCAAAATAACACAAACTCAAAAGTGATATTTGTTTGAAATTTATGAATGATTTAAGTTTCAGAATGCATGCATATAATAAATGTAATTTAATTTGTTAAATGCACATATGAACGTATTCAAGTTGGAATGAAAACAATAAATTTACTTATTATTATATGCAAACAATGATCAAAATGGTAATAGTAAACAAAAATTCGTTATGACAACTACTATAATTGAAACACACCAGGCATTGGTCCTTTAGTTTTTTTTTTTTTTTTTAAAAAAACTAAAAAAATCAAAATTAATTATTAATTTAGTTTTTTTTTTTTAATTATCATAAGTTGAGTAGAATACTTTGACACATAATTTTAAAATTATATATATATATATATTATACACAATTCATATAATTATTCCAAATTGACTAAAGATTTAGGGGTTATTTGGGAAGTACAATATTAACACACTTTTTTATCATTTTTATATCACATTATCTCTCTACTTTTCTATATATCTTTTTGTAAAAAATTAAAAGTATACTTATTATTTGGTTCTTCCTAAACAGCCCCTTAATGACCTGAATGAGTATAATTTTAGTATGTTTATTATAAAAAAAATGGTGTTCTCCAAATTTTATATATCAAATTATTTACTAGAATAACATGATAGTAATATTTTTCTAAATAAAATACATCTTGATGAATTTTAAAATTTAAATGATAATTTTAAATTTTAACATGATAGTAATAATTTTAGTATGTTTATTTTGAAAAAAATGGTGATCTTCAAATTTTTTACATCAAATTATTTACTAGAATAACATGATAGTTATATTTTTCTAAATAAAATACATCTTGATGAATTTTAAATTTTAAAGTGATAAATGCACAGCCAAACATATTACGTATACATTTTTGTTATAAGTTTATATAAATATATACAGTGGCGACTCTAGGAATTATTGTCAGTGGTGCCAATAAAAAAATTTAAATGACATATATACAAAAAATTCACATTAATCATATATGTCACATATTTACAAAAAATTAACAAATTAATTTAAATTCTCAAATTAAAAACAAAAGGAATGTCAATATATTGATACTATTCTTTAAACAAAAAGACATGTTGATATATGAGCTTTTACAATTGACAACGACGTGATTTCATATGTTGAAATCGTTACATAATAAACTTATTATCAATATTATTAAATACATCATTCATCCATAGATCTCCCAAAACAAGACTACAAAATAACATTTGTTTTTTACATATAAAATATTTAAACAAATGGTAGACATACCATTAAAAAAAATTTAAAAAGTAAAAACTTTTTTATTGAAAGATTTAAAAAATGAGTTTAAAATTATAATTTAGTGAATTCAGTTATTAACTTTTGTCGTAAATTTTTATACCTATATAATAATAAATAATAAATAAAAAAAATCGTTGTGGGGTTCAGGTGACACCCCTAAGGGCAGCGTCACCCATGTATATATATGTATATATTATATTTATCTGCCATTATCTTTATTTAAAAGTCAACCTTGGTTAAACTGTTAGGGGTGCACTTGGACTATAAATCTGTACATCCTACAAGGGCCTACATAGGAACAAGAGTTTGATATCCAGCTAGTTCTTGTGAATTTAAAATTAATTGGATTTTAGTGGACTTATTAGATACTATAATCATATATATGATATAAGCACACGCACGTTATCAAAATAATTTATGTTTTAATTAAATTAATCATAAACTTTAAGGTCAAACAGTTGTAATGCGTGGATAATCTTGGTTTTTGTGTTTGGAGGTGGAATGGTGGATGAATCTCAACAATCATAAACAATGACTTTATCATTTTTTTTTTCTTTTTTCTTTTTTAATTTATAAATAAAATATTTATTATAAATGGTGTGCAGTGGTAGTAAGAGTCTTCAAAGCAAACCTTTTTTTTTTGAGACTCACCAGAGCAGCACCAAAAAATTTAGGAATGAAATAATTTTATTATTAAAAGTATTATTATTACATTTTTAGTGACAAATATTAGTGATGACTTATTGTTATTTTGAGATTAAAATTTTTGTTTCAAAAATTAAATCTTTTGGATCGAAATTACTTTTATTAGTGATATTTTTAAAAAATTTATCTCTAAAAATCTTATTTTTGACTTTTGAAATACATTCTTTTAATGACTATTTTCGCGACAATAAGAATTGGTTTCTAAATATTGTTTGTAACGAATTTCTTACTTTTAGGGACGAAAAAAGTTTAGCCCTTAATATATATATATAAACTACCATTAAGTCCTAATAGTTGGACTTAGTTCCTATCAAATCTTATTGAAAATAAATTCTACTAAAATCATTGCTAAAAATAATTTTTTGTGACTTTTTTTTGCATATATCGTTAAAAACTGACAATTAGTTACTTTTTTGTCACAGTTTTTATAAATTATCGTTAAAATTTTCAATTGGTGACTTTTTTCTGTGACGAATTTTTTAAACTGTCACTGAAAGTTAAAAATTAATGACTTTTTTTATAACTTTTTTAAACTATCTTTAAAACTTATAATTAGTGACATTTTTGTGATAAAATTTTCAAACCATCTCTGAAAATTAACCTTTTTTTTTTTATTAGCAAAGAAAATCTTTATTGATGACAAAACCATACATTACATATGGGAATACAAGGATGAGAAAGAAAAAAAAAAGGAGAAAAAGGGAAACCAACACTAGCTCATAAGACCACAAACACTCGTTGCCACCACCCAAAGACTATCTTAACAACTTGATGCCACCACCCAAAGACTATCCTAACAAAAGCATATACCCCACTGAATGCTCTAGTGTTGCTTACTTGTTGCCATCCTACTTCCTTCTTAGACCTATCACTTCTATTTGGATCTCTCTTTATCCTTTAGTTCTACCTTAATAATCTTATTCAAAACATCATCTTATTTTCCATTGAAATTGATGCCAAGAGATTTACCCAATTTTAAAGTGGCTTTAGCTTCATTGAGGAGAAGGTTGCTCGAGCTAGTAACACCCTTAAACAGATCTGAACAGGCTATCGCAGCTGCTGCTAGTCTGAAGATGACAGACTTAGAGGCATGCTTGCTGACTACTGCAGCTTTATGCCCATGAAGTCTAGCAAAACTGGTGAATCCCTCTAGCTGAACCTTCTTCTTTCTTTTTTTTCTTCTCATTCCGCAGGAGTTTCGGGACAGAAGTAGGTTGCCTACCTAAGCCTGAATGATTTAGGCTCAGAAAACCCTTCCTACTTAAATTTTTACTTAGTGTTCGGGCCAAATCCACTTCAAGATTGATGCCATGCCCAAGCCCATCTCTAAATCCACTAAAGCTTCAAATAAAACCAGGAGTAAAGACTTGCTCAACATTAATTTTTGGATTGTGCACTGACTCCTCCATCATGGTCTCCTCGACAACTGTGTTTATCTCCTCTTCCAAATGACAATCACTAGGCCCTCTCTTCTGTTCTACCTCCTTGGGACATGCTTTCTCTTCTCTGTTGAAACCTCCATCACACTTTGACTCCTCAACAATTGTGTTTACCTCCATCACACTTTTTACCTCCTTCTCCCTGTAGCACTCCTCTAGAATTGTTCCTTCCACACCACTACCACAGATTTCGTTAGAGCTACACTCTTCCAAGCCACTGTGCTTCATGTTACTAAAATCTACTAAATGATCTTCACACAAAATAATGGGGTATAGTTTACCCTTGCACTCCAAAAATATAGTTTTGTTAATAACCTCCATACAAGATGTAGCCACTCTGATTCTGGTATGGGAGAAGGACTATGGTTGACAAATATCTTCATCTAAGCTTAGAATAGTACCCCAAATGCTTCCAATGTTGTTGAGTGAGCCCATATTCCAGAGATTTAAGGGTATGCCATAACACCTCAACCACACACATCTCTCTTGTTCAAGATAAAATCCTAGCTTCCATTTTACCACAAACTAACTCCAATCCTTAAACCATTCTTTGATATTGCAAATATTTGATTTTAGCTCGTCTTGAGATTTGAAGGCTAATACTATATCTCGTCCTCCCCCTTTTTTGACCATTACCTATTCTAACCATTTCTCCTGCAGGACATTTTCAATGGTAATAGTAGAGCATTCGGTATTAAGCCTGAATATTGCACTATCATAGAGCCATCCATGACCCTCTTCATTGGCTTTTATGGTCAAACTTGTTTTTCCAGCCACAGTGGGTGTGTCCCCTTTTTATACTTCAGCGAACAATCTTAGGCCTGTATATGAAACATCAACCATGTTTTTGTTAGTTTCAGGAGGTCTTTTGATGGTATGAGGTCTTCTCATGCTCTGATCATCTCTGTTGCTCTTGACATTGTTAGCTTTTTTAACTTCTAGCACCCTTTCATCTACCAACAGTCCATTCGCTTTTTGGATGGTGATGTATGCTGCTACAGGACAATCAAATCTCACAAAACCAAATCTAGAGTTTGACATTGTCCTTCTTTTGAATGGTATAAAGACATCCTTAACTATGCCAAATTGAGTGAAGAGTTTGAACAGAGTTTTAGCATCCATAGCTGAAAGTAAATTATCCACAAGTACAATGAATAGTCCATGCTTATCCTCCTTGCCTTGAGTTCCACCTCTTTCCCGCTGCCTCATTACCGGAATCCAGCCTCCATTTCCTCCTTGTGCCATTACGTTTTCACTGAAACATTTTATCAAATAGATGGAGTGCGAAAAATTTTTTACTGGAAAAAACAAGACCAGCTACTCTTGGTTTCCCCCAAATCACAAACCCAGATGAAATCAAAAGGACATGGAGGATGCCAAAAGCCTTACTCGAATGATGATGGATAGTATATTTTATAGTCTGATCAGTCGCTGCTAAAAATGGTGATGTTGAAGCAACGATCGGACGCCACTGAGAGCTGGAGCTTCACCGTCGGACTGAGAGTGAGAACTGAGAAGTTGAAATCGCTAGCTGCGGGACTGAGCATAAGATGGAGAAGAGAGAGCTTCAATCGCCGCAGAAACTCCAGAAACAAACCATGTAAGACTGCTAAGAAATAATGTATTTTAACCGGTTGCAATTATATCTGAAAAATTAACAATTAGTGACTTTTTTTTAATAGTGTTTGATAAAAAAAAATGTCATTAATTATCATAGGACCTATTGGACAATAAGTCCACCTATTAAGACCTACACGAAAGTCTCCCAAATAATAAATGGTTATTATTTCTTTAAGTCCTATAATTTGTCTCTTGTGTTAACTTAATGTTATAGTTCTAATTACATGAAAATAAACCTTTGAATATTTCATATTATCTCAGTTTAGTTTAATTGATAAATTGTTTTGAACAAAATAGTTCACACACTCTCCTCAAATTGAGGTTTGAATTTCAATTTAAAATTGTATGTTTCGTATTAAATGGACCATTGTTACATTTGATTTCTCTCCAATTTCTCAATAGAAATTATTAATAAGATTAAAATAAAGACAGAGTGAAAAATTAAATGGGGAAATTGATATAATTGAAATTGCGAAGACCAAATTGGTACAATAGATAAATTACATTGACTACTAGCATAATTTATCCAAATATCAACGTATACCTAAATAATTACAATTTTTTTGACTAAATAATTTTTAGTTACGAAAAGATCACATTTGCTGACTGAAAAAAAATTTGGTAACCAAATTTTTTTATTTTCCATGACAAACATGATTTAATCACAAAAATCATGTTTTTGGCGACTAATTTGAATTATTACTCATGAAAAATTGAAGCAGTAGGGTTAAAAAAAATATGAGCCATAAAACTTTTAGCGACTAATGAAATTTGGTCGCAATAGCAAAATGACTAGTTTCGGCGACTAAATATTATTTAGTCACGAAAAGCACATATTTGCCCAAAAAAAAAAAGAAAATAAAAATAGTAGCCAAAATATTTTATCTTCCACAACTAATGTGATTTAGTCATAGAGATGTTGTGTTCTGCAACTAATTTGAAATATTTGTCGTGAAAAGTAGGAATGTGAAAAGATAAACAAATAGGAACCAAAAAATTTTAGCTACTAATGAATTTTTGTCGCAGATATCAAAACAACATCGTTTTGATGGTTAGCATAGTTATTATATTATATGGCGACCAAACCTTATAGTAAGGGAAAAAAATTCAAACCCTTCTAAAATTTCACAAATTCGAGACTAAGTGATTGGACAGGAAAAAATAGCTAATAGTTTTGACGACTAAATTTATTAGTCAATGTTTCACTACTCACAAACATTTTAAAAATCAGACTGGTGAGAGAACTTATAATGATTTCGGCTTTGACCCGATCCATTTGATATTCTGGAGCTCGAGTTTTATGGTTTCCAATTCATATCTTTTCCCCTTTATTCTTTCTTGAGTTTGGTTATTGAGTTGGTTGGAGCATGTTTGAAACAGGTTGGTTACTTAGTTTTTAAACGTTTGTTGCCCAGATTTTTGCTCTTCCGCTCGAGCGGCTCTTCTTGTGCTCGAGCGGACTTTGTAAACTCTTAGTACTTTTGCAGATCTACAAAACTACTGGGAAAGTGTATTCTACGCTTGAGGGGTTCTTTCTGCCCTCGAGCGGCCCTTCTTGCGCTCGAGCGATGGTTTGTTTTCTGCAAAACTACTGGATGTGTGTATTCTGCGCTCAAGCCGTCATTTCTTGCGCTCGAGTAGAACAACTTATTCTGTCTGACGCTCGAGCGCCAACTCTTGCTCTCGAGCGGATTGTGCGTATATCAGTTTGTAACTGCCTACTTTTTCATCACTTTTTTTTTATCTCTTTTCTCTCAAAAACCCTAGATTGGGACTCTCTCTCTCTCTAAAACTCCCCTTCTCTCTACATTTTCACCTAAATCTAGTGATCTCTCTACCCGTGTGGCTTTGTTAAAAAGGTAGAGCGTTTCAAGGGCTCTGTTTTGATCCGAGTAGAAGTTTGTTTTGGTGTCTTTGAAGTTCCTCCATTGTTGCATTGATCTTCTAAGCTTGAGGTAGGGACTTTCTTCACTCTTCTATGAGTTTTAGCTTAGCTATTTGTTATTGTGTAGGAAATATTGGGATTTGAGGTAATGTTGAACCAACCTAGGGTTTTGGTTTAAAATCACAAGAGGGGTTTTCGAATGAATGTAGTGGAAATGGTTATAAGAGTAAATGTGAGCTTGTGTTGTGCTAAAATGGTTGATTTTGATATTGGGATAAAATTGGGAAAATGGAGAGTTTTGCCCTAAAATGACTCAAATGATTATTTTGTATAAGTAATGGAATTGGTAGTGAAAGTGTGAAATTGGAGGGTTATTTATATAAGTGGTGGAGTTAAATATGTATCATCTCACACCTACGAGAATTTGGATAATTTAACTATTGTAAAGATTGTATATCTGTTTAGAATATCTGTTTTGGACTATCGGTGGAGGGTAACAATTGTTGTAGAAATTGCATGAGGATTAGGCGAATTAAAACTAATCTCTTATTGGTTGTCATTGAATATGATTGTGTTATAATACATTGTATATGTATGATAATTAGGAGGAGAAAGGGGATGTATTCCATATATCGGAGGAGAAAGGGAATGCACTCCATTGAATGAAGTTGGCCTGTGTGTCCTGGGTGTAAGTCCCGAAAAACGAGCGTATACATTGGTGCCGATTCCCACGGACGAAATTTTCGTAAAATGGCAAATTGAAGTGTTGTGTATTGATTATATATTTTTGAGAACCATTGAGTTATAGTCTCAGTTGGGTTGTTTGGATAAAAATGAATATGACTCATGAATTGAGGTGAAATAAATTGACATGAATGAAATTGAGATAAAACGAACTGGAATAAAGGAATTTGATATATTATGATCTTGTAAGATATGATTGATTCCATAATGGGCATTGGACATGCATTTCATACTTATACCTTTGCTAATATTCATATATTGTGTTAGATTGTTTATACTAGGCTTTGGCTCACCATATTTGAGAAAAATCATTTTCAGGTGCCGGTGATATGCCTGCGCCAAGGCAGTAGCATGGGAGGATTGTAGAGCTGAGAGCTCACTTTTGTTTACTTTGTATTTTACTTTTGTACAAGCCTAGGACTTTATTTGTATTGAGCTTTTGACTTGTTTTGTCATAACCAAGTATCGTTTGGAAAGTTGTAAGCCCGTAGGGCATTTATTTCAATGATCCTTTAGTTTGGTGCCACATGCTGTAGATTCAGGGTAGAGCTTATAAATGTGTAATACTTGTGCCTTTTTTCGTAAATGGACTCTGATTAATGAAAGCCTAATACTTTGTTTATGTTATTTTGTACTAGTCTTTACTATTGAATTATTGTATTATTTATGGGGCATTACAGAATTGGAAAATGGATGGATGGAGGGGTCACAAGTTCAACCATTGGGTTGTTTTTTAAATTTTACGATAAATTTATAATTACATAAACATATTTATATTTATTATTTGTAAAATATATTAATTATACATAATGTTTGAAAGAAAATGTAATATAGATATATATTTACCCAATATATAAAGAAAAGTTAAATGTGGTATGGAGATTATTTGTCATACTATTTCCATGTGCTTTTGTGTTCAACTCTCCCAAACAACATAGTTTCGCAAATTTGCTTGCCATTTGGCAAAATGGAGCCTAGCCGGTTTAGTTGAATGGTTGACTGGTTGACCTGACTAGTCCAGTTCGATTTTCAAAACATTATTACTCACATTTGGCGACTACAATAGTGGTCGGTGAATTCCTATAATTGCCAACTAAAGTTCAGTTGTAAAAACTATGCTTTTGGCAACTAACGTTTTTGGTCGGGGGAGCAGTACTTTTGGCGACTAAATATTTTAGTTACCAAATGGTTTATTCGTGGTAGTTATATCTTCAACGACCAAAAGTATAGTCATTAAACATTTGCTTTTGCCAACTATTACTTATTTATTTTTTGTTGCGGATTACTTGTCGCAACCATATATTAGCAACCAAAGTGGCAACCAAAAAACAACCTTTTTGTGACTAAAATTTTAATCGATAAAAGTGTAATTTCCTGTAGTGTGGTAATTGTGGTGGTGGTGGTGCTAGGCGTGGAGGTGGCTATAACGATTCTGGTTTAGACCTGACTCATTTGATGTTGATCCGAGTTTTACTATCTCATATAGTTGTTCATGTCTTATTTCTCATTGAGTTTGTGTAGACACCCCATTTTTGACCAACCTTAAGACTCAGACGTCATCGATTGAGCGCTCGGTGATTGCGCATGTTGTGCTCGTTCTGAGGTTTCGGAGTTTCGACTGAGGTCCTTACCCCTGGACCTCGGGACCCTTTTATGCTTTGCCTCGATTTGTGGACCAGGTCTTGCTTTCTCTTCTTGGAGGGAGGGAAAGGTCTTGTAGACCATCTCTCAGTAGCCGTAGGCTACTTTTCATGGTCGCAGGCCACTATTCCCGTTTGGAGATCAGTTTTCGATTTTCGGAGCCGTTGGCCGCGCGCTTCGGTTCGGGACCGCTTGACATTCTCCGTTTGGCACGGTTTTTGGCACACACCTTGTTTCCTCTGTCTAGAGGGACACTGTGGCCTGGGAGACCACCTTTGTGGTCGCACGCCACTTTTGGTGCTTGACAGCCTGTTTTCAGGGCACCTGGCCGCGCATTTTGCCCCCCGAACCCTCA